CCTGCCGGGCCCCCCCCACTGCCCCCCACCTCAGTGGGTCCTGGGCCAGGACCGGAGCAGGAGCCAGCCCAGGTGGACAGGCACGAGGATGTGTCACCTGCTGCTCTGCAACCTGCACCCAAGGGGAATGATCCTCTCCCTCCACATTGGTTTGATGTGAGACCCCCAAACCAGCCACAGAAACTCTCCAGCCTGCAAAGCTGTGGTTGAGTAACCAGGTGCTCCCTGTGGGTTACGGATGAGAACTCTCCTGGGGGAATGATGCACACTCAGCCCTGGATGAGAACTCTCCTGGGGCAATGATGCACACCCAGCCCTGGTGGTGCGGCCAGGGCAGGTCCAGCCCCGCTGACATCGGGTGCTGAGGCATTGTGCCCCCCACAAAGCACTGCTGGGGGTCTCTCCCGCTGTGCCTCAGCAGTGTTGTCCTTCTAGGATCTCGGAGCACTGAAGATCCCGGAGCAGTACAGGATGATCATCTGGAGGGGCCTGCAGGAGCTGAAGCAGAGCCACGACTACGGGGCCCAGCAGCTGATCCGCTCCAGCAGCAATGCCTCCACCATCTCCATCGGCAGCTCGGGCGAGCTGCAGCGGCAGCGCGTGATGGAGGCCGTGCACTTCCGCGTGCGCCACACCATCACCATCCCCAACCGCGCCGGCGACGACTGGGCCGACTTCGGCTTCGACCTCCCGGACTGCAAGTCCCGCAAACAGTCCATAAAGGAGGAGTTCACGGAGGCAGAGATCAACTGAGGGGCTCCAGCCAGAGACCTGGGGGGACACGAGCTCCCTAGCAAAAGTATTTGCAGCCTTGGGCGCCTGGAGAAGTGTAATTTTGTTGTCCAGAGGGGAACTGCAGGCCCTGAGCCAAGCAGGAGGTGCCTGCCCTGGGCAGGGAACTGCGGTGGCTTTGGCAGAGGTGAGGAGGAGGATAAGGAGGAGGAGGAAGAGGAGGAGGAAGGCAGCTGAGCCAGCTCAGCAGCCAGAGCAGGATTTCTGCGTGGGAGGCACTGGATGGTTGGTGTTTCCCTGAATCCAGTGCATCCAGTGGATGCAGTGCAAGGACAGCACACGTTTCTCGTCCCTGCTCACCAACCCTGTCTGTGTGTCCATGGTGTCCCAAACCAACAAGGATTTGTCACTGCAACACAGACTCAGCACTTACCTGCACAGGTATCGCCAGCGACTGGTGTGAAATCACAACCTGCTTTCCCGAGGGACTGCCAAACACATCCCTTCCCTCAGCCTCTGTAGAGCTGGAAAGAACCTGTTTGTCCATTCCCAACGTGTCCTCGTACTTCAATATTGGTGTACATAAACAGCAGCAAATGTACAGACAGTAAACTCATTGTGCTGTAAGGAGAAAGAAAGATTTATTTTCATGTAAGCTATAAAAGTTGATACTGACTCCTGAGACACCACAGTGTCAAGTAAATTAATTTCATGTTGTAGCATGTAAACATGCAGAAAATCCTGTCTCCAGCCTTATCTATTCAACATTCAATTCTTTTCTCCTCTGAACCTTTCACGCAGCTGTGGAGGAGGGGGAAAGCCAGCGATTCTCCCGGGAAGTCAGTCTGGATAATCCCTCCCTGCCCCACTGGGGAGGTTTGCAGACAGGTCAGACCTGAGGAGTGGTGCAAATTACGGGTGGTGTAAATTCCATCCTGGTTTGGAGCAGAAATGGACTGGGTGGCCGTGTGGGATCTGTCCAGTTCTATTCTCTGTTCCCGGACAGTTTTCCCACGTATAATGTCCCTGTTGACTCAGGCTGGTAAAAAAACCTCCCAAAGAAAGTAGGTGCTCCCCGTCCAACGCCAAAACGGGGTGCCCCCTGCAGAAGGCAGGAGGTGCCCGCGCTCCGGGATGGGCTCCGTGCGCCCGCCAGGTGAGCCGCAGGTGTGAGCTGCCGC